TGAGGGTTGCGATCCCGTGGCTGGTCCCGGTCCGGTCCGGGCGCGACACTGAGGGTTGCGATCCGTTGCCGGTCCCGAAAAAAGACAAAAAGGAAAAAAAAAAAAAAAAGCAAAGAGAAAAAGTATCTAAAGAAAAAAAGGAATAGAGCATTAGAAACCTGTAGGGTAGTATAAAGCATTTTAACAAATATGTGGTTGGAGTATCATAAGGAGAAAAGAAAATGGGTCAGAAAAAAATTCTGGGCTTCCACTTTTCATCTAGGACACAGAAAGCTGGAAAAAGCATTGTTCCCACCTAAAAACAAAAAGCTGGATAATCTACAAAATCATTATTTCTCCTGAAACCATCAAACAACTCAGATCATAAGCAATGAACACAAAATCTCAGATCATAAGCAATGAACATGAAATCTAAGACGCAACTACGAAGAAGTAGACGGGAACACTGGCTTCTGTGGAAGCATATGGGCAGAAGATGCAGCCACCCTACAAAAAGGTAAGAATAATTCAGCTTAAAATTTTTAACAAATGGTTAAAAGCCAAGTGTAGGTTAGAGTGAGAATATTTAACTCCTAGAAATTGCAAACACATGCAGCCTGAGACCTTCTCCAGAGACCTCACTTCTAGGCCTTCAAGGAAAAAACTGGCTGAGGGAGAAAACTAGAAAAAGCAACGCTCAGTAGTACAGGCCTGGAGGAAGGGAAACACCACTTAAGCTATTGGGGTAAGGGCAGCAAGTCATGTTGTCCCCAACACAAAAGAGAAGATCCTGGTGGATGAAGGGGGGAAAAAAATCCTCTAACACTGAGAGGTCAAAGGAAACAGGAAACCATCCATACTTGGTCCTGACTTTATAGGTCTCCTGTTGCTGGGAAAGGAAACGGGGAACTCTCATGCAAAGGACCCACTGAAGACTCAATGCAGAGTTTGACTCCCATGGGAAAGAGGGGCAGGGTCACTGAACAAGTCCCATTCCCCAAGACTCAGGCTCACAAGACCTACCTAACATTGAAGCAGGACCAGGACAACAGAGAACACCCCTACAGCCTAGCATCACCCTAGCAATCACCAAGTAAAAAGTAACATTTGCAGGAGGGGCATGAACATGGAGAAAAATGATCTCTGAGGCAAGGGTGCACAAGAAAGACCTAAAACAGAGAGTTAAACAGGAATACAGTCATGTGCCACATAAAGACATTTCAATCAATGATGGATGGTATATACAATAGTGGTCCCATAAAACTATAATGGCTATCCCACATAGACTAGGTGTGTAGTACGCTATACCATCTAGGTGTGTGTTAAGCACTCTCTATGATGTTTGCACAATGACAAAATTGCCTAATGATGCATTTCTCAGAAATATATCCCCCGTCATTAAATGACATATACTGAGAAAAACTCTCTAACAAATCAGCCCCACCCTAAACATAAGATAACAGCCGAGGAATTTCAAATCCATGATGCACTGAAGGTGTATTAGTCACCTCGGGATGCCCTAACAAAACACTGTAGACTGGACAAATCAAAAAGGAGAAATTTATTTTTCCATGGTTCTGAAAGCTAGAAGTCCCAAATCAAGGTGCTGGCAGATTCAGTTCCTGGTGAGGACTCTCCTCTTAGCTCGTAAAAGGTCACCTTCTCACTGTCTTCTCACATGGTTGACAAGAGAGAGCAAGCTCTCTAGTGTCTTTTCTTATAAAGACACTAATCCAATCAGATCACCTCAAGAAAGGTCCTATCTCCAAACGCAGTCACACTAGGGGGCAGGCCTTCAACATATGAATTTTGGGGGACACAAATACTCAGTCCATAACAGAAAGTAACTATAACAACAACAAAACTCAAATGGCTCTACTCCTGACTAGATTGGCTCAAATCATCAGCACTAATAGCTGAGTAGAAGAGATGTATTCATTTCAAGAGTAAATACTGTTTGCCTCAGTTGCTACAGTTCTACACTGAGGTCCACCAGAATTTAGTAAAAATTACAAGACATATGAAAAAAACAAGGAAAAAAACACTGTGAAAAGATAAAGCAATACACAGACCAGTTTCAGGGAAGACACTGATGTTAGAATTAGCAGACAAGGAAAGTTAAAATAACCATAACTGACAGGTTAAAGGCTGTAATAAAAAAGGTAGATAACATGCATGAAAATACGGGGAATTTCAACAAAGAGGAAGTTTAAGAGTCAAATGGAAATAGTAGAAATAAAAAATGTGGTAACAGAGAAAAAGAATGTTTTCTACAAGCTAATCAGTAAACTCCAAACAGCCAAGGGAAGAATCAGCAAATTTGATGTCAGGTCAATAGAAATTACACAAATTGAAACACAGAAAGAAAGAAAAAAAAAAAAAAGAGTGGAAAAATCAGAAGAAAGCATCCAAGATCTGTAAAATAATATCAAAAAATGTCTAAGATGGGCCGGCCCGGTGGCGCACTGGATAGTGCGCCGCTTGGGAAGCGCGGCGGCGCTCCCGCCCGAGGGTTCGGAT